CTCAAGAACACCCCCCCCCCCCCCCCCCCCCCCCCCCAATACTCCTATGTTTTGTACTTAGATTTGCACCAGGAGTTTCTCTTCCTCCCACAGCTATGCACTGCGAAATTGTTCACATACCTCATTGAAGAAAACAGAATATACATTTAGTGCTAACTGACACACATTTCCCATTTCCTCCTTTCTAGCTGTGTTTTCATACTTTCAGAGTTTTGGCACTAACTGGTACCAGTTCATATATTTTGAAATGAAAGCATGCTAAGAAGGAACATTGGCAGAAGCCTCCATCATCTGGCCTCATCAGTTTTCACTGTTTACAACAGCAATAAATGTAGTCTAAAGGGGCCATAGTCCTGTTGATGTCAGAGGAATATATATACAGAAGGAGAGGAAGAACAGCCTAAATTTAGCTAGCAGAAAGGAGACATCTGCAGCAGTTAGTCTGGTTTTGCTAACTGTCAAAAAAGTATTATTACAAAGCAAAAGAAAATTTTTTGCAATCAAAGGAACCACCATAAAGAAACTACTTTTTCATAAACAGGATTTGATGTTTCCAAGGCTTTTTTATTTTAAATAAGAGATAATCCTATTACATACGGTCATTGTGCTGGGGATAGAGAAATAATCCCACATATAACACCCTGAGACAGCATTTCTCACTTGTTACTAATGCTCCAGGAAAAAAAAAGAAAACATCAAAGAAGAGGTCAGGATGACGGATCAGCAAGCCAGGAAGCAATTAGGTAAGCCTTATTGTACCTCAGAGAGTGGTGTTGGTTCCTGGCACTTCTGTTTCAGTTCTAGGAGTGTATTTGTTGATTGGAAGTGTTTGAACCAGAAAGCACAGCGTTAAACTTCAGTATATAAAGTGGTTTTGAAATTCCAGCACATATAGAAAATATCCCGTGAACAGAAAATGGCATTTTTACTAGCACATTGCAGTAAGAGTCAGTGTTGCAAAACTGTCATGTATTACACATCGTCTTTTTTGGGCTCCAGTTTTCAGGAAATTGTGTAGTTCCCTTGGAGGTGGGGGAAAACTGTTTATGAACCAGAGCATCGTTTCTGCCACAGCTTAAGCAGTATCATTTAAATCAAACCATTATAGGCAGCATACAGAAAAGATTGTACTTAAATTGACCACTGGTGTGGTCAGCATACAAGTCAGCATTATGCTGCACTCAACAGGTCCTGGCTGTGCTCCAGAATGACCCTTGGCGTAGGAACTCCAGAACAATTATACCAAGCAGCAGCATGTCACCGCTGTAGGCCTCTTGGCCCCAGAAGCGGCTGAGGATCTGACTGACAGTGCCCTCTCCCTGCCTTCAGATCTCACTGTTAAAATCCCTTCCTTTGTGACCACTGCCAGCAGCCTGCGTGGGACCTTCGGTCTGGGACCATACGTCTGGTAGGGACAGGTGGCTTGCTACAACGCATGGATTGCTCTGCCTGTTCAAGGAGATGGTGCTTAGGGGGGATGTGCGATATGGGAGCAGGCAGCTGTTGACAGCAAGGAGGCCAGCACAGCACAAGCGTGTTGCTCAGATGTGGAGAAACTTCCGTAACAGCCACCTGATCCTAGCCCATGCCATTCATGCACACAGGGAAAAGCAGGCCCTGTGCGAGAGGCTAATAGAGACAATGCTTTCCCATTTTGAGACACTACATCAGGGCTCGTTGGCAGCTGCCTGCTCTGAAAATGATCACAGTAGCGACCCCTGCCAGGGATTTGTACCTGATCATACACCAGCTCCCACCTCCTCAGGAAGGCCAGCTGCCACTTTGAAAACACCTCTTTATGCTCTAGAAACGTCACCTGTACGGCTGGCACCCCACCGCAGGGAACGTGAACGCTGTCAGGCTCTTGCGTCTTGCAGCAGTCACGCTTTGGCCACCGGCAGAGCAACGTGCCATGGAGGGGTCTGACTTCACGCCAGCTACCTGGTGGATCCCACGAGTCCCACTGGACTAAGTTGACAACCACGTGGACTGCTCAAAATGGCAATATAAGCAGATGTGTTGTAGCTGGCACCCCACTCAGTAACTGGAGAGGTACGACGAACTCAGAGCAGGGGACTTCAAGAAACATTCGCTAGATCCACACATAACACACCAATCAACACAGCAACAACCATTTGAAAACCAGGACAAAAAGGACAGTGGACATCACCACATTGCAAGAATTTACAGTTACCAGTATGGCCAAGAAAATACAACAGTAATGAGCTCAGACAAAGTCCGTTACAGCAGAAGGTGGGGTAGACTAACTCAGTAAATACTGGTACATGTATTCATATTCATTTCAAGTTGGACACTGGTGTATAAGGTGGCATATTGCTAGAATCAATAACATTAACTTTAGCAAAAAGAATTGCTGCCTGTTGAAGACTAATGACTAAAACTCGAGAGTTTTTTATATTTGGCTTACTAATAAAAGAAAACACAACAACAAGAAAATTAATCCTTTCTATCTTATGTTTCTTATCTGTTTAATGCCCAAAGTCACCATATAGTATAGCAGTCACCATATAGCATACAGAGCAGATGATTTCCCTTTTTCATACAGAACTGGGAATTGTTACTCATAAAAGGATCTCTGACAGCTGCAGAAAAGCTTTCACTTCACTTCCCCTGCAAACTCAATGCAATGCTTCACAGCTAGCTGGGGAAGCAATGAAACTAATGAAGCCTAATTTCTCCTGGATAATAAGGAATGAAGCCTGAGTGAAGTTAGCTTGTTCATTATGCCTCCGCTCATCTGGGTTCTCTGATATCATGTGCCGCAGCCTTACCTTCCAGGAGCTGTCTTTTCAGGAGTGTGCCTTTTCTTTATCATCTGTAATTTTGTGGGTTGTAAGAGATGCAAACAACTTCTTACAGAAGCATTCTGCATGGCATGGTAGCACGTCTTTTTTCTGCAAGAGCTACTACATATAGCTAATTTTCATGAGGCTACTAAAGATTAAAGCTACTCTTTTCATTATATTATGCAGTTCTTGTGTCACACAACCCAATGAGTTGCGTGTCTGTCATATATACTGTTAACAGTCAAAATACCAGCTCACTCTTTTCTATCATCTTTGTTCTTGTGGGTAAAATAAGTTGCTGCCTATCACGCACAGAAGGATCCAATCTTGTTCCAGTTGTTAAAATCAAAGTTTTATTAAAAATCACAGTTTAGCTTATTTAATTAAGCCTACTCAATGGAATTCTTATGGGATCATCTTACGCATCTCTGATTGTTAGATTCTAATCTTTCTTACACAGAGAAGACAGTTTCCCCAGTAATACAAGCTTCATATTTTTAATTTGTGAACTCTATATCCAGTGTTTGTCCTCATAACTGAAATTTGTCTTAGATTAATTCGATCTGGATCAGAATACAAGGATGCCTTTATTCTTAGGGTTAGATCATCCAGCTGAGTATGACTAGTAAATGAACATGTTCCTGTTTACAGGGAGAGTAAGAGAGAACTGGTCTTTTTTTTTTAATCTAAAAAAAAAATCTTTTTTTTTTTCCTATCATCGTGCAGTTTGTGTGCTCTGAGGTTGTTTGAGCTCTTGTTCAATTAGGGATTGTATGCCATGCGTATAAAGTCATGTCATCTTTCTTTTGCTCTTGTAATAAGGTATATCTATTCAGTTTGGGACGGTTCACAATCCTACAAAAGAGTGAGTTTTGTTATTCCAGCAACCTCAGGAACTAGAGCATTATAGGAAATGATATGTGACTTCTATTTCATTATTTAGAATATTTTGTTTAAATATATTTACCTAATGTACAGAATAGCGTAATTGGAATTTCTATAAACAAAGTTCGGTGCCTGGCTGCTAATGCTCCAACGCTTTCTGGAAGGCTGCAAAACATCAAAAACAAAAGCATACAAAACAATATTAATTACAACCGTTAACAATTACTGCCAATATGACATGCATCAACCTAGATCATCTTCCTCCACGCTTTCTATAATCGGGGCTGTGTTATATAATATCAGCTTAACAGCTTCTTAGTTGACTTCCTGATGTAAAGATAAACATCATTATATAACCTGCCTATTTTAACTTTCCCAGTCAAATTAAGCAGAGAGGTCGGTGTCTTGTACGGAATGAGTTTGTCTGCG